CATTCAGGCGGCCCCCGCGCTTGCCGTCCAGCACCGCGAGCAGCTGCTTGCAGTGCAGCCGTGCGGACTTGCTGGGTCGCAACCTGAGCTTGGCCTCGTGCGGCAAGTGGCAAAACTTACAGTCGATCCCGTTCTTGCAGCGCGCGTGTAACTTGAAGAAGATGCACGGCTTGCAAGTGCCGGCGAGGTGGGCCTTCTCCTTGGTGATCAGCAGCTCCTGCTGCTCCACGAGCTCGTGCGCCTCCCCGCTCGGAGAGCTATGATCCGCGGGCGGCACCACGCTGGAGCCTGCGTACCTCTCGTCCTGGGCGTCATCGCTCAACCCGAGGCATCCACTGATCTTGTGCTGGCTGCAACCGTTGATCCCCTCCCAGGGGCAGCGGCTGCCCGAGCCGACCGAGACCGATTCTGAGAACGAATGGTGAGTGGTGCCGTCTCTCGCTGCGCTCCCATCGAGACAGCCGTCCACGCGCGAAAGCCTCTCCGCGGCGTCGCCGGGTGCAACGCGAGCCGCATCCACCTGAGCCATGCCTCCCCCAAACGCGCACACAAGATGGCCGTCGCTCTTGCTGCGTCTGAGTCCTGCTGCAGCGTCTACCACCTCCAAGAACGAGTTCTTGACGACAAGCCTGGCCCCGTCGGCCTGCCAGTGGCACTGGCCCTCGACGCTGCGCATCCAGACAGCTCGCGCCGCTGGGCCCGCGCCGAGGGGCGGACCGGCGCGCTCCTGGGGGCCGCACGGACCTTGAGCCGGAATGGCTGCGGAAGCGTTTTTGACACCGTCATGGGGGCCGTGAGGGCCGTGAGGGGCGCCCGTTGGGCAAGATGTCGGAATCGAATCGGATCGTGCCAGCCGTAATCGCTATCGGATCGGATCGATCGGATCCAGACGGACCATGCGGGGTCTCTCTGGCAAGACGTGGGGCGCAGAAGGGCAATGCGCACCAAGAGTCTCCGCAACGAAACCACTCTCACCCCAAGACTTCGACGGGCTCGGACCGGGATGTGCGCCAGATCGGGCTGCATCGGCACGGAGTCGAAATCCAATCGGATCGGCCGTACCAAGATGCACACAACAACGCCAGCTTCCGACCAGACAAGCCAGGAGGCCATCAAGACGGCCCAAGGTAACTCTAAGATGGCCCAAGCGGCCAAACAGGGCCTCAAGAGGTCTCCAAGACGGCCCCAGAGGCCTCCAAGGAGGCCTCCAGGGGGGCCCGAAGAGGCCCGAATCATTGATTTTCCTGAAGTTTACAAGGACTTTGGCATTTGCTTCTTTTCGGCCTTTTGATGGTCCGATACGGCCCAAGAGCCCAGAATCATCGCACCAAGATAGCCCAAGAGGCCTCCAATAAGGCCCCAGAACTGGGCCCCTAAAACGGCCCCGAGGAGCCCCAAGACGGCCCAGAGAAGCCTCCAAGACGGCTTCCGACGGCGTCAGACGGGCCAGGAGCCCACCAAGACGGCCGACGATGGCTCCAAGATGGCCCAAGACCGCCCAAGAGGCCCCCAAGAGGTCTCTAAGACAGCCCAAGAGGCCCCCAAGAGAGCCTCTGGGAAGGCCCGAAGGGGCCAAAATCATTGATTTCCCATAGGGTGTTCCCGATGGCCCGAGGCGGCCCAAGAGCCCCGAAAGATCGTCCCAAGAGGCCTCCAAGACAGAATGGCCCAAGAGGCCCCCAAGAGGGCCCCAAGATGGCCCAAGAGGCCTTCAAGACGCTCAAGGTGGCCTCCAAGTCGGTCTTGGAGCACCCCAAGAGGGCCCCAAGTCGGCTCAGAGAGGCCCCCAAGACGGCTTCCGACGGCCCAAGGCCCACGAGAAGCCCCCCAAGGCCCCGAATAAGCCCAACGGAAGCCCCCAAGATGCCTCCAAGAGGCTCCCAAGATTCCCCCTTGTTTTTCCTCGTCCTTCCCCTCCTGATCTTCCCCGCCATCCCCCCGCAAGTGTTCCCCGAAGGGTTTCCACAACGGCCAGGGGAACACATGGTCCGGCTTGGAAGAGCTCTTGACACAACGCTCGGCCACGTGGGCGACTCCAACAGGCGGGGGGCGGCGGTGATTCGCCGCAAGCGTCTCCGATCCGCCGCACCCCTGCCGGCTTGCCACGGGGGTGCACGGCGTGCCAGGCGTTTGAAAACCTCTGGTCCCCCCTTCTAAAATTTTCGGCCCGACCCGTCAGCCAGCCACCCGGAAGGATCCCTCGCTCAAAAGATGGGAGGCAAGGCCCCTGCAGACGCCTCCAAGACGCCCAAAGGCGGCCTCCAAGATGCCTCCGAGACGGCCGAGATGTCCCAAGATGGCCTCCAAGATGGTCCCAAGACGCATCCAAGACGGCCAAGATGGCCCCAAGACAACCCAAGATTTCCTCCAGACGGCCCCAGAAGCCCCCAAACCACCCCAAGAGGGCTTCCGGAGGATCTCCAGGAGGACAGCTTTCCCTCGGTTTTCGATGATGTCAGCGTTCTCGCCTGTTCCAGCTTCAGACGCTCCAAGACGGCCCCATAGGCCTCCAAGATCGCCACAAGACATCACAAGACGGTCCAAGAGTCCACCACAACGCCCGGAAGACTGCCCAATCGGGCCCCAACGCGGCCCAAGAGGCCGCCAGGACGGCCCCAAGGCGGCCCCGTGCACCTCCAAAACGACCCTAAAACGCCCAAAGAGGAAACCGCGGCTGCCCAGAGAGGGCCCCGACATCCGACGGCTAAGAGAAGAGGTTCCTTAGAGGCCCCCAAAAGCATCCAAGAGAACCCCAAGAGGCCCCAGGAGGCTCCCAAAAGGCCCAAGGGGCCCTCAAGAAAGCCCTCAGAGGCCCAGAAGTCCCCAGGAGGCCCCAAGATGGTCTCGAGAGGACTCCTCTTCTTCTTCTTCTTCTTCCTCCTCCTGCTCCTCCTCCTCCTCCTCCATTCCTTCTCCTGGTGTGTGTATATATATATATATATATCCTCCCTGTCACACCACGAGGCAAGTTTCTAGGGCGGACCGGGCGTTTCGCCTGAGACTTCCTCACCATGCACGACTCTGAAACTTATAACGTGACGACAGTTTCACAGATGGAGGGCGGATCGTTTTCAAAACGTAGCTCTCGCCTTAGCGCCGCGCGCATTCGTTTAAAACATTTGCAAGAGTTTCACGGATTGTGGGCGGGTCGTTTTCAAGATGTGGCTCTCGCCTTAGCGCCGCGCACATTCATTTGAAACAGTTGCCCGCTCGTTATTTCGCAACGCAGGCACTTCCAACAAAAGGCAGAGCGCGGCGGTGACTCGCTGAAGGCGTCTACGATACCAGAACCGCTGGCTCACGACTGCAGGTCGACGCGGCTCGCGCCGCTGATGGCTGCAAGGGGATAGGCGCCGAGGAGCAGTGGGAGGGGAGGAGGGGGAGGGGGGCCTAGTGACTATGCTTGCCATGTGGCTGCGAGCGCTAACCTTTCGAAAACTCTGCGGCCTGGTAAAGACAAAGCGCACGGCGCCCGAAGCGATGAGCCACCTCTGGTGATCAGCACCACGCGGGTGCCTCAACGCCTCGAGCGAACTGTCATGAGATTTCCACCCCGGTCTGGGCATGCGGCTGGCGCTGAGGCTCGAGAGCCGCTCTTTTACCGAACGAGCGCACCCGCCTCGGCAGGCATGCCAGACGCACTCAGCACTCCCAGGGGTGCAGGTTGCTCGGTGCGGCGATGAGAAAGACCACATCAGCTTGAAACATGTTCGTGGCCACCGTCGTCTCAAAAACGATTGGCAACACAGCCCTCGCCGTGTCTTCAGCTATGTCGCCGACAATGTTCGCACTCCGTTCGCTTCTCGCTATCCGACCTCCGAGGCTCCACGAGAATCCTGGATGGTAAATCCGGATTCGAATCTCAGAAACGAGGCATCCGTAGCTGGGAGGGAGCGCGCCACAGTAGACAGCGCCAGTTGGGGGGTCCCCCCTGAGCTACTCCCCCCCCTTGGACTTCCCCAGTCAGAAGCCCCCCGCCTCCTTATGTTCGCCCTCCAGAAGCTCCCCCCCTTACCTTTGGCACCCCTGCCAGAGGGACGCCCCCCTCCCCTCCTTCCTCCTTCGACCCCTGCGAATTCCACCCCCCGCCCCTTCCTTGCCTTTCGCCTCCCCAGCTTTCACACTACGGAAGCTGCCCCCCCCCCTCCCCCTTGAGCCTCCCCAGCCCGAAGCTCCCCGCTCCCACTCCCCCACTTTCCCCAACGACCTCTGCCAACTGCCCCCCCCCCCCCCCTCCTTGGACCTCCTCAAGCGGAAGCCCCCCCGCCCCCCTTGCGGCACCTCTGCTGGATGGGAGCCCCTCGCTGCTGATCCTCCTCCCGTGAGATCCTACGCCGCGAGCGAAGAACTGCAACACCGCGAGCACAACCACGACAAAACCCTCAGCCTCAGCCCCCGGGGCCCGACCCAGTGAAAACACACACTCACACACTGAAACGCACACTTCCTCCAGCGGCCACGTGACATCACTGCGGCGGGGGCCAAAGTGGGGCGCGTTTGGTGCCAGTTCCATCTGGCGTTTCAGATGGGGGACCGCGCGAGGCGAGTCGTCGTGCAGAATAAAAAAGCGGCTGCGCCAGACGAGAGCGGATGGGGCAGGTAGGCGGACGGACCGCGCGTGCAGCGTGCAGGTGGAAAGACCCGAACGTGGAGCCCAGGCCGGCGAGGTGGCGGAACCATTGCGACTACTAATTCAGGGCACGCTCAATCGGACTCAACCTGGCGTGGCATGTGGGTAGACTGACGGGGCAATGGCGCGCACCTCAGGGCCCCCCTCCTCCACCTCCTCCTCCTCCTCCTCCTCCTCATCCGCTGGCGTCGCAGCTCTTCCGTGGCGTGGGCACCTGCAAGATTCGGTATTTCTGTACAAGCAAAATGTGTCGGCCCCCGTGACCGAAACACGGAAGGGGGGGACAACAACAACAACAAAAACGTTCTGCCACGATCTTGTTTGCGACATCCAGAAGCACAAGGCCGCATCCGAGGGCTGAGCCGCGCACATAGACGGCCCCTCTGGCGCTCCACCACAGGAAGTTGAGCCCTGGCTCGACGTGGTGAACTCTGCCTCGGCACGGCGGCCGCCAGGAGGGGCTCCTCCTACCTCCTCCTCCTCCTCCTCCTCCTCCTCCTCCTCCTCCTCCCTCCTCCTCCTCCTCCTCCTCCTCCTCCTCCTCCTCCTCTGCCTCCTCCTCCTCCTCTTTCTCTTTCTCTTTCTCTTTCTCTTTCTCCTCCTCCTCCTCCTCCTCCTCCTCCTCCTCCTCTTCCCTCCTCCCCCTCTCCCTCCCTGCCTCCTCCTCCCTACCTCCTCCTCATCCTCCTTCCTTCATGCCTCTTCATCCTCCCTCTTCCCACGCGGATGGAAGGCTGACCGTTTTCCACATGCGGCTCTCGCCTGATATTTCCCCAACAACATGCTACCACCACACCTGTAACACAGCGCAACAGATAAACGGGTGGAGGGCGGTTCTGTTTCAAGACGGGGCTTCACCTGAGACTTCGCACTACTTTCTGAACATAAGTTGGCCACATGGTTACGCATTGCACGACATCTACACAGTTGCAATGCGGCTCCTTTTCAAAGTGGAACTGGCGCTGAGCACGTCCTGGACCTTTGAACCCCCCTGTCGTATAGTCGAACGATGGAGGGCGGTTGCTTTCAAAACGGAGCTCCCGCCTGAATTGCGGGCCTGTGGAGCGCTTCGCGGGTAGGAAGACTGCGGGTAGGAATTGATGGGGAGGCGGCTTGGGACGGGAGGTTTTTTGCAGCATCGTCGATATATCTTGCTCTGGTCCTTCTCCTCCCCCCCGTCCTCCCCGCCCGGAACCCGCCCACATTGCTTTGGCGAACATTCGGCGCCTGCGGCGGGTCGCTTCAAAGCCTCGCAGACTGCCGACGACCCCGCCGACCCCTCCCTCTTATTCACAATTGCGTGGTACTGTGGTGCTTGCTTGCTACATAAATGATGGGGAAGTCTCAAGCGAAACGCCCAGCCTGCCCTACTGACACGTCCTGGGGGGCGACAGGGAGGAGTTATGTGACAAGGAAAAAGGATGGAGGAGGAGGAGGAGGAGGAGAAAAAGAGAGGAGGAGGAGGATGAGACGGAGGATGAGGAAGAAAAGTAGGAGGAGGAGGAGGAGGAGGATGAGGAGGAGGAGGAGGAGGAGGAACCCTGGCCCTTCGCCTCCCCCTGCGCGCGGCTGCGCTGGAGGGGCCTTTCCACCGGAAGGTCCTGTTCTTATACTTGTCCTCAAAGGCCAAGTGCACCTCCCCGCACTGGCCGTGCCCCCCGGCGGGACCGAGGCCAGGGGGCTACGCTGCCCATCCCCCCCCGCCCCGCCCCTCTCGCCTGCAGGGAGGCCACCCGAACGGGAGATAAGGTCAGAAGATGTTAAAAGATCGCGCCACATCGCTAATGCATCGCCGATTCGTGGAGGACTTCGAGCTGCATATCGACCCGCGTCGCCGATGCGGCGCCATCCTCCGATCTCACGTGCTCGGCCCCCTTTTGGGAGGGTCGGCGGGGGAAAGAGAGAAAACAATATATAGAAAGAGAGAGGGAACCACAAAAAAGAGAAACCAATGAGAGAGACATGCACCGCACACACACACACACACAAACAAACACACACAAACAAACAAACGCACACACTGAAACAAACACACACATACACAGATACACACACACACACATAAACACACACAGACACACACACAAACAAACACACACACAAACAAACAAATACACACATAAACACAAACACACACATACAGACACACACACACATATACACACAGACACACACACACACGCTCACCCACTTACCCACCAAACGCGGGTTGATTTCCGGCCGGCTAATCCAACCCAGCGAAGAGAACAGCAGACCGCGAGGCGAACGCGCAGAGTGGTAGATCGAGCGGGGCGCAAAAGGGACACACGCGCGGTAACTCTGTTAGTGTCGCGGACACGCGCGCGGCGGTGCGGCGCAGCGAAGGTCGGACGAAGAGACGCGCGCGGCCGGCCCAGGTCGCGCGGAGACTCTGGATCCGCCCACAGGAGATCAACGGGGGGCAGACGCGAGGGGAGCAGCCAGTCACACACACACACACACACATTGGCGGCGTGCAAAGGGGGGTAGGGGGGAGGGGGGGAAGGCTACTCAGAAGCACCCCTGCTTCTTGGGCGCGGGCCTTGTCTATAGACGTAGGGCCAGCGCCTTCTGAGGAACAGCCTGCGAAAGGGAACCCTTCCCCCCTCCCCCTGCCCCCCTTCTGCGCGCCGCCAAACACACTCGCAAACACGCATGCACACTCAGCAGGGGCGCGCGCGTCGGCGTAGCCGCGGCCGGCCAGACTCCAGAGCCCAAGGCTCGCGCTGCAACGTCGCAGTGTCCCGCCGGGCGGCAGGGTGCCACGCGGCGGTTCGACGCGAACAGCACATGCACGCGCGCACGCTTCTTCCGCCTGCGCTGTTCCGCGCGCGCGAGCGCGCGTTGAACGTTTGTCGGGTAGACAATCCAGGAGGAGGAGGAGGCAGGGAGTAGGAGGAAGAGGAGGAGGAGAAGGAGGAGGAGGTGGGACGGCTGCGTCCAACTGGACATCGAGCCGATAGCGATAGCGATAGGAGGAGGAGGCAGGAAATGGAATGGAATGGATCAATCGCGAAGCGAATCACACATGACGCTGACCTTCTCCGAGCCCGTGGCGAAAAGGCAGGACTCGACGACGAACTCTGGATGTGTCAGCGCTGACCAGCATTCACACTGAATGTTGAAAACAACAACTCCACCTTCTTAGGCGATGCATCGCGGCACCACGCACGCAACATCCGAACTAACTAACGCCGATCTTGGCCCAGTCGATCAGCGGTCCAGTGGGGATACCTGCCCGTTCGGCCGTCGGCGGCCGCAGAACATCGGCATCACGAAGGAGGAGCGCACGTTCTTCCTGCCAGCGTCGGGCTGCATCGACACGGCGGGCTCGACACAGGAAAGGGCGCCTCGATGGCCCAACCAGCGCCCAGCTCTGCATCTGGGCCTCCACCTCGAGGATGTGCTGGGCTTCCTCCTCGAGGATGGCACTCGTGCAGCTGGGTCTCCCAGGCGAGGTCGCTGTCGAGCCAGGCTCAACGGCTTCGTCCGCCCAGCCGCCCTCCGCGCCAGCGCCCGCCGCCTGTGGTCGGCCAGCCGCCTGGGCAGTCACCCCCCGCAGGGGCCCTCCAGCCGAACCGCTGCTGCCACGCGTCTCCACCAGTTCGCCGTCGGTGGCCTGCATGCCGATGAAGCCGCCGGGTACGAAATCCGCCGCGTCGGCCCTGAGCACCGTGGGCCGCGTTGTGGCCCGAGGCGTCCTCGTGCCACGCGGCACCTCAGCAAGTATCCCCCCGTACGACGAGAAGGCGACCGTGCCGCAGGTGCACCTCGTGCCGAAGACAGGCGGGCTGGTGCCGCCACCGCCGATGGCCGCCGTCGCCTCGGCAGCGCCAAGCGTCACCCCCGCGGGGCTCGCCGCGGCGCTGCACGTGGTGCCACCCGCAGGGCCTCCACGAGCGACGGCCTCGGCAGCGGCGAAGAGCGGGTCACGATCACCCACATCTTGAAAAAGCGGTTCATGACGCGCTCGGTCTCCCTGGCGTTTGACTAAGCGGCCCAACTGCATCCAGCCACTCGGCAGTACCATACACTGGTCTACTGCGCGAAGGGCATCGCCAAGCCTGTGGTGGTGATGTCCGAGATGGCCGTCGGTAGTGTGGTGCAGCACGAGCGCTCTGCCCAATACCACCAGCCGATCCGTGAGCACCTCCAGGAGGGCGCCGTCTGGAGCGATGGTGTCGAGCGCAGTGTTGACCGAGTCGTCCACGAGCTGGATCGTGGCAGCCTGAGCCCGCTCCTTGCGAAGTCGGCGACCGAGATTTGCGGCTGACTTCCGAGCCCATTGTTTACCCAATGATTCTGGCACATGACGAGGCGCACACCCTCGCTGGCCTCCCGTAGCCATTCCCAAGCAGATCAAGCCCTTGCAGCGCCAAACTCCGGCCCGGCCATGCGCGGGGGAAATGGCGACCACGGGGCTTGAGGCCGGCTTGAGCCAAAATTGCTACGGACGGAGGAGGAGGCAGAGAGGAGGAGGAGGAGGAGGAGGAGGAGGAGAAGGAGGAGGAGGAGGAGCAGGAGGAGGAGGAGAGGGGGAGGAGGAGGAGGAGGAGGAGGAGGAGGAGGAGGAGGAGGAGGAGGAGGAGGGGGAGGAAGAGGAGGAGGAGGAGGAAGAAGAAGAAGAGGCGAAGGAGGATGAGGAGGAGGAGGAGGAGAAGGAGGAGAAGGATGGAAGAGGCGAGGAGGAGGAGGAGGAGGAGGAGGATGAGGATGATGATGATGATGATGATGATGATGATGATAATGAGGAGGAGGAGGAGGAGAAGGAGGATGAGAAGGAGGAGGAGGATGAGGATGAGGATGAGGACGAGGACGAGGACGAGGATGCGGATGAGGATGAGGATGAGGATGAGGATGACGACGACGACGACGACGACGACGACGATGGTGGTGGTGGTGGTGGTGGTGGTGGTGATGATGATGGTGATGATGATGATGATGATGATGATGATGATCCACGCATCCAAGAAGGTCTGGAGCTCCCCGCTCGATACAGCCTCCCGAAGCCATGGCCTTTCCCTATGGCGCTGCGGACGCAAGGCCTGGCCCGTGCCCAAGGCACACTCGCAGACTCGCCTGAAAGCCTTGAGGCCGCCGACCGCCCCAGCCAAAGGCAGGCGGTCAGCAAACATCCGAGCCCTCACGGCGACTCAGCACGCAGACAGCTCGGCGCGCCACACCAGAGCAAAGTCCCCTAGGCACCAGGCCACAGACGGGAACGACTTGCTCTGAGGTGACCTTCGGAGGCGATCCTGACGGTCGGCCACAGCCTACCACCACGGTTCGGCCTCCGCCTGGCGCGGCACAGAGCACAGAGCGGGCTGGAGCGCAGCAGGCTGCGCGGGCTGTCGCGCCCAAGGGGCGCCAGCTGCTACATTAAACGGAGGCGCCGAAGGCGCCGAGCGTCAGACGCTGCCCAAGAGGGGCGGGAGGGAGTGAACCCTGGCGTGTGCCGAGCCCCACGGGGTACAGCCTACGCCACGGGGCCCCTCCCCCCCAGAGGCAGCAGCTCGGCGCAGGCATTCGTGATCCTTGGACCCGCCTGCGACACGAGCAGATCTTGATGAAAAGCGGCAGCAACTGGCAAGCCAATTGCCTCATGGGGCATCTGAGCGTCTAAGGCCTGGGGCGCCTCGAGTGGGACCCCGAGGAAGAAGCTGGCCGCTGCGAGGGCCAGCCGCGAGGCGGCCGCCGCCTCCGGAAGCTCGCCTGCAGACAAGAAGCCTGTGTCGATGCCATCGCCGCTGTAGGGAACGCCGCCGTTCCCATCCTCCTCCATATCAGCCCGAGCAATACGTGTAAAGATGGGAAACGTTCCCAAGCCCCCAGGGCTCCGAAAGCGCCCCCTGGGGTCGGCGCAGGCGGCCTCGGCCGCCGAGGCAGCCGCTGAGGCCTCGCCCATCACGTCCTCCTCGACGTCGCCGATGAAGAACTCCACGAGCGGCACCTCGCCGAGCGCCTCCGTGGGCCCGCCTGCAGCGGGGCCCCCCGTGGGTATGTCCTCTCCGACGTCTGCGAGCGCCTCCGCGACGATGTCATTGCCGCGCCCTGCGGCGCCCACCGTCACGTCCAGCACGTCGTCGGCTTGCCCTACCTGCACGACGCCGTGGGCGTCTGCAGCAGCGGCCGCCGCGTCCAGGAACTCCACGTGCGACACCTCGCCGAACTCCTCCTTGAGCCCGCCTGCGGTGGGGCCCACCGTGGGTCCGTCCTCGTCGACGTCATCGAGCGCCTCCGCGACGATGCCATTGCCGCCCTCTGCAGCGCCAACCGCCGCGTCCTGCGTGTCGTCGGCGTGTGCGAAGCCGACGGGGCCCGAGCAGGCGACCTCGCCGCCGACCGACTCGTCCGCCTTCGGCGCCACGACGTCGTCGTAGCCGAACTTCCACCACCTCGCTCCCGAGGCAAGCGGAGCCGCCACATGTGCACCTGCGCAGCGGACCCGCTCTCCGAGCGCGAAGCATGCGCCTGCGGACAAGCTCCGCCCGCGCCTGCGAGCGATGGCCCACTCCTGCGGGGCCGCGTCACAAGCCGCCCGCGCAGCGGGCTGGCGGCGGTGAGGCGTCGCCGTAGGCCGCACGAGCCTCCGCGCCCGATCCCGCGCACCGCCGATCGCCGTAGATCCGCCCGACCGCTGCAGGCGGTTCAGCGACGGCAGCTGCATGCGGGCGATGCTGGCG